TAATAATAATAATAATAATAATAATAATAATAATAATAATAATAATAATAATAATAATATTTATTTGTTGAAAGTTTGACAACTGCAAGGTACAAAACAAGATCTTTAATCAATAGATAATGCTGCCCAACTTCAGGTATATAAGTGACAGTGAGTCAAGCAAAGTTTTTGCAGCCAAGCGCTGCGGATTTTTCTTTTTGAAAACTTCCTTTTTTCGTTTCTCCTTGGCTGCCAACCAAAAGAAGGGGACATGTCTGGAGTTTTCACCTCCATTTTGGTGAAATTTTGGGGTGGATTTTTTGAAAGAGAGACATGAAATAACAAGGGGTTCTAAACCTCCTGGAAACTGAGCATATCTATTTTTATTTAGTTAATTTTTTAAAAAAGCAAAATAATAATAATAAAAAAGGAATAGTCATGTAAATTGGTTTCCCTCCTTCTCCCTTCCCAATGTATGTGGCTTTAAATTTTAGGGAATTTAAAATGTTATTCAATTTTAGGGAATTCTTCGGGCTGTAAGAGTCCAACAGCGGGCTGCAAGGCCCCCCGTGCAGAGAATTTGGTTTCACCAGGATGAGGGTAGGCAGCCAGTGTGAGAGTGTAGCATCTGAAGCCCACGTTAAACAGAGTTCAAAATGCTGGCAAAAGTCATAGTCCTTAACCTAAGAGGTCACCTGAGTTTGGCATGGAACAGGGAGGGAGAGAAAAGGGGGTAAAAAATAAGAAAATGACAACATTGTGCTGTCTAGTGTTGTAGAGTTGGGCAGCCTTATACATTTCTAAAATAAATTAAATAATTTTTTAAAAAAATTGCTGAGGGGGTCAGATTTGAGCTCTCACTAGATTTCCCCTCAAGGGAGTGATTTCTGCCCATTTTGGACTTCAACTCCATGCTAGTTTTCCTAGGGCGGCTTTCCTTGAATGCCACTTTGCTCTTAAACAAGTACCAGTATCTTGCATCATAAAGAAATGGTCAATGTGGTGGGATACTAGAAGTCTTCGCCCTTCTCTTAGTCCTTCCCAGCAACTGGTTTTCAAAGATACACTGCTTCTGAGTCTGGAGGTTCTACTGCAGTGTTTTTCAACCTTGGCAACTTTAAGATGTGTGGACTTAAAGAATTCCCCAGAATTCCCCCGCTGGGGAATATTGAGAGTTGAAATCCATATATCTTAAAGTTGCCAAGGTTGAAAAAGACTGTTCTGTTGAACTGCACTAACAAAGGATGAGTTGACGGTTCCATCTTTTGATCATTTGTCTCATATATATCAACTCATCCTTATATAATCCCTATAAGTACTGCTGAAATTATATATATATAATTTTTTTTCACCAGTACGTCTCTCAACAAATGCTGGGAGTCAGTGATGTGTTGTATGAAAACAATCCACCTCTTTATGGGCATATGGAAAACTTTGCACTGATTGTTTTTATTGGTTGATTCTGCATTGAGTTGTTTAGCGTACGAGGGAAAAAATACTTTACAAAAAGAAGAAAGAAAAGGAAAAAGAAAGAACTCCAGCCATTGCACTCTTCATAACAGGATAACAGGCTCCTTAACATTTCTTAGACAAGAACAGAATGTTATTTTTGTTGAACCGAAAGAAAAACACGAAGCATGCATTGATACTTTTTATTAAAGTTTTCTCTGGCTTTCACAAATGTAGCATGGTACTGCAACAAATTAAGAAAAATGCTAATTTTTGAAGAGTACCAGAATATATCTTACTCCTTCGTTTTGACAGAGCAGGAAAAAAAAACAACCCATTATTGTGTTCCTAAAGTTTAATGACATATTGTGAAGAATGGGATTTTTAAAAAAATTAAACTCTGATAAAATGAAGTATTTTTCCTTGTGTTCAGAAGCAATGCTTCGTAGCAGGTTGCTGATGTATGTTGTATATAATGTATATTTAATTTATTGCTATGGTAGCATATTGTATTTGTCATTGTATAAAAAAAATTCTACAGAAGGGTAAAAAATGTATATTTTGTTGCTTAAACGTGTCTTTGCAAAATTCATAATTAAAAAAAAATATTTTGTGTCAAAGATGTCTCTTGACTTGCTTGGCTACCTTGGATCCAGCGACCCGTCCTTGTTTGATGGACAGTTCCCTATTTTAACTGTGGCGTGAAGTTCCACAGGCCATCAAGCCAGCTTCATCAAAAAGGATTAGTTTCAGGATTCCAACATAATCCTCCAAAAAATGCCTATTCCTGCCTCGTCCCCAGGACATGACAAAAGGAAGACCTTTGTAAATGAACTTAAAGAGCTATGCAGTTCATTTTGGAAGGTGCTGGTGGTGGACTTAATTTGGCCTACTTAGTTTAGTAGCCAATGCTTTGGAAACAAATGCATGAACCGCATGTTTAATCAGAAGTCAGCGTTGGCTGAGGTTGAATGGGTCCCACCCCCACATAAATAGAGGTAGTCCTTGACTTACAGCCACAATTGGGACCAGAACTTTCATTATTAAGCAATGCGGTTGTTAAATGAGTCATGCTTGATTTTACAACCTTTTGCCATGGTTATTAAGCAAATCACGCGGTGGTTAAGCAAATCTGGCTTCCCCCATTGATTTTGCTTGTTGGAAGCCCTCTGGGAAGGTCACAAACGGCGACCACATGATCCCAGGACACTGCAACTGTTGTAAATACATGCCAGTTGCTAAGCACCCAAACTTTGATCACATGAAAGCGGGGACGCTGTGACAGTTATAAGTGCAAGGACTGGTTGTATGTCACTTTTTTCAGCACTGTCATAGCTTCAAACAGTCATTAAGCAAATGGTCGTAAGTTGAGGACTACCCGAGATTGAGATTTCATTTCTCAAGTATAGACTCAGACCATTTTTCAGTGGTAGCTAGCAATTGTCTTAGTCCCTTATTTCATGCAGTTTTTTTACATAGATTTATGTCTTTCCTTCTTAGCTTTTTTATCGTCTCTTTTGAATGGTGTGTAAATGTGGTTTATTTCTAAGTTTCTATTCAATACAATAAAAAGACCAGAATACATCCTCTCCAGCAGCTTATACCCGGATTAGGGATTAATACCAGGCAAACAATATCAAGCAGAAAACAATACCCTAATCAAGGAACTACCAAGGAGAAAACCACACCCCCACCAACACTGGCAGGGCAAGATACAGTATAGAAACAGGGAGCAAACCCCACATTCATTCACACTGATGATGTTACCTAGTTGGGTCATGAGATGTCTGCAAGAAAACCACCAAGCTCAGAGAGCACCAAGGACTCCATAGTTCAACCCTGAGCTACAGATATTCTCTTCTATTGGAACATACTCTAAAGACTGTTGTATCTTGGAAGCTGGTTGATCACCTTATTTTCTGTCTGCATTTGATTAGAAATTATTATTATTTGACTGCCCATCTCATCTAAGTGACTCTGGGCGGCTCACAACATCAGCAGCAGAATTTATTCTTCATCCTGATACAAGTCGGAACAGAAAGAGTTAAAGGTTACCTTTTCTGGTATCATTAACTGTTGTCCTAAAAACAGCTCAGGAGCAAATATTCCCAAGGGAAAGGTGTGTGTGTGTGTGTGTGTTAGTATCGATCCATTGATGCCATTCCATTTCCAAAACAACATGGGAAGCTTTGCTTCTGATCAAGGAAATTCTGCTTTCCCGGATCCTATCCCACATGGCCACGTGCAACTTTCGGCAGCCCTCAGAACTTTCTCTGACTAGTTATCAAAAATCAGTAGCATGATCTCCTTTGGAAGCAGTAGTAATGGAAAAACAGAAGAAGAGAAACTCTAACATCGTTAAAAATAAAGCAAATGGGATGAGGGGCAGAGAATGGCTCAAATGCCTTCTATTTATTTATTTGATATATAAAATATTTTCTGCACAGGACATATTTAAAATATTGAAGATTACCCAACCACTTCTGACACTTCTACTAATCTATATTTACCATATTGCAACAGGAGCTGCTGTCTACCAGCTTCAGTTCTAACCACAGCTTCCCGTTTCTTGTTTCCTGTCTACTAGCTGTTTGCCTTGTCCTGTGATACATTTGGGGTTACCTTCAGCAGGCTTAGCTTTTGCACTGCTTTTCTTTTGCCCTCAAGCTTCTAATTTCTATCATTTTATTGTTTCTATAAGCATCCTTAGGACGGTTAGCAATTTGTGGGGTGCCTCCTTCTTGTTCATCAACCCCCCCCCCTTCAGACTAGGTGGCATTGTCAATGGCCACATTATGGTTTTCCGTCTTGAAGTTCCAGGAAATAGTTGGTGTCCTGCAAAATAAGATTGTGATGGAGCAGCAAAACATTTTGAGAGTGTTTCTTAAAATGGGCACATCCCATTCCACACCATGGAGCTGTGCAATGCAGATAACATATTAATGCAATTCCTAGAATGCCCAAAATGAGTCCAAATAATGCCCTCAGCCAAGAGAAGTTTGGTAACCATAAGGTTAACCATTGCCATAAATCAAATTGATTTTCATCTCTGGTGGGGTTCTCTGTTGATCTTTGTGTCATGTGACGTGTGGTTCTGTTTGTGTCTGATCATCAGAAACATACACCGCACAGCATCACACCACATACAGCTCCCTGCGATGCTAATAATACATCTAGGGCCTGTCTGTTCTGTAAGACTACCTCTCTAATTTCTCCTTGCTATGTATTTTCACTAAAATGACTACTTTCCAGCACTCTGCTGGACGTAGTTGCTGATTAGCGTAAGCCGAAGGGAGGAACTCAATACTGGCATATGATTACTACTCATACGTTTGTTTCAACAGGATTACTTACCCTTTTGAGTATTGGCTGATATTCCCTCTTCCTTGGCTCCTCCCACTGGACACGTATTTCTGCTAAAAAACCTGCTCCCGTGAAGAATGCCTCTTAAACAACTACTTCAAGTCCTTTATAGGTTCAACAGTCCATTCTTTGGCGGCACTCTCTCCCGGCGAAGTGTTCGCTGAAGATTCATGTTCTTCCCTCTGGCTGTCTGGAATCTTCTTCACTTGGGTGTAATGGATCCCCGGCTTTACCCCTTCCGATTTCAACGAGGAAAATGGGGGACCTCTCCACGGAGGCCAGTGATGCCCAATCTTTTGGGCTCGGTGTGTCAAAAATTCGGAAAATGCCTAACTTGACTCTGCTGGTGTTGACCCCACCCCCACCCCTGAACAAAAGAGAAACAATTCTTTACATATTTATTTAAAAAAAATACAGTCCAATCGTGTACGTATTATATAAAGAAACGTCAAATAATTACAAAAATGAAATAAGAGTAAAACCAACTTAGTTTCTTTGGTAACTCAGACAGGGAGAAGAGTTGTGGTTGGAACGCTGGCATGTCACCCAAAACATCGTGGCGTGTCACCTTTGACACGTCATAGGTTCGCCCATCACTGACTTAGGCTGTATTGTCTTGTTCTTCCACGATTTCAGGAAAACCTAGTCCGGAATGGACGGGACTTTCCAATGGCAGTGGGGCAAATACCTGGGTGTACCTATGGGGAGAGGAGACAGCAGCAGATAGAGAGACCAAATATTCCTTCACACAGGTGGCCTCTTACATGCACTGGAGTACCATTTGCCCCCTCAGGGGTCACTGGACAAGGCCTCCCATATAGGATTTCCAAGGGGCTTAATCCCAACCCTTTCCTAGGGGCTACCCAAACCCTTAAAAGGGCTACTGGCAACACTTTAGATAAGTTGACAAATATTAACAAATACTTGTATCCCATGTGCCTAGGCATTTCTGCAAAGACTACTGGCCAGTTTTCTCCTAGGCTTTGTCCTGTTAATTGAACCCCCAGGGAGGGGGGGTTCCTACTTATTCTGTGATTGTTTTTCATACACACGTCTCAGTTTCCTACTATTCAGATTAGATACAGTGGTACCTCTAGTTATGAACGCCCCTCCTTACGAATGTTTCAAGATACGACCAGCTCCGGCCCCAAAAATTTACCTCTACTTGCGAACTCCGCCTCTAGCAACAAACCAGATCCGCGGCCATTTGCCCTGCTGCCACGCGGTCGTGGCTTCCTGTGGGCGAGATCACGGTAGCAAGGAGATGTTCGGTGGGGCTTGTGGTGTGTTTTGTGGCATTTGGAAGGTTTTTGTGGTGTTTGGAAGGTTTTTGT